AAAGAATCCAGGATCACTAACGTCTTTACAGGCTTCTCTCTCTCTCCCTCTCTCTTTTATTTGGCCTCTTTGAACTGGTTTCGTCTGATAGAGAGGTTAAAGACTTGTCATGTAATGAAGGAGCAGCCCCACAGTCTGTCATCATTAATCATTGCGGCTGTCAAGCTGCACCCAGGACTCATTCAGACCAACCAGGCCGACAGCCCTCACCTCCAAGAACAACACCCCGAGACGTTTTATACATTACGGCAAAATATGCTGTCGACACTCTGGGTTTGATTTGGAACACTAAATATAAAAAGGGGCTGTGGTAACCAAGAGATTAGTGGAGCAGAGCTGTTATGAAGGATGAATCCTCCGGGGAAACGTGGGTGGGAGAAGTGAACGAGTAACCTCGACCCCCTCCCCTAACAACTGCTGAGTGGCCTTTGAGCAGGACATCTGGCCCCCAACCTCTTAGCTTCAGCAACATAAAGTTAAGTGTTGCTGGGAAACAGCATGAAGTATGAGTCTACTTAACTCCGACAGGTTGGAGGAAGAAACTGGGAACAAATGGAGAAAATATCTGAGTAGAGAGAAAATCGTAGATACCGGCTGCACGAAACGACTGAGGGACTGTACGAAAGTTATTCAGGTGGGGAGGGGGGCTGATCCTTATGTTTTTGAGTGTGTTAACATTTGCTAATTAGCACTAAAAACAAAGTGCAGATAAAGTGGATGGGAATAGTTTTGCTGGTATTTGTTCATAAAACAAAAGAACTGGACGAATCAAAACTCTGACCACAATCAATCCTCCTCAATCCGAACGTTTTCAGGGTATTTTAGTCTGAACCACAAATGTCTCCATCATGGTGGTGCCACAAGAAAAGGTCACTAGGATTCCCGTCCTAACCTCTGGGGACCATGAATGTCATTGGTGAGTGGAAATCCATCCAAATAGTTGTTGAGCTATTTCAGTCTGGACCAAAGCGGTGGACTGAGCAGCTAAGTGTGTGTTCAAACCGGAAAACCGAACCTTCTGCTTGATTACATCATCAAACTGCAAGTAATGTGTTGCTAATGACAGATAAACCTAGATAAAATAAAGTAGATAAATGTGTAATAGATAAAATGTTAGGTCCCGTTCGCCAGCTCTGACTTAGCTACCTTCGCTAACTTATCTTGCAAAACACCAATAATTAGCCACATCGACCATTTTACCAGCGTTTCTCAAACTTTTCCTCAACACTAAAACCATTGAAATGAAATAAAATTCCCCAAACATCCTCAAAACCAACAGGAACTGCTACTTCAGTACTAATGTGGCTAGCTTGCGCGTAAAAATGTCAGCTAGGACGTAGTTTTAATTAACGCCTGTGTCTCACACACAAGTGGTGCTATTTATGTAGCATCAAAATTATCCGGACAGCCATTGTCTGTTTGATATTTAACAAGCTAACCGTTAGCTTCATCCACATTCACCTTCAAATTATCATTATTAACGTTAAATAGTAAAACATAAACTGTAAACTGGCGCTACTATATGAAAAGACAGTGTCTCAAAACAGTCGGTTACGCTTCTGTAAATCCAACGACTCTGCAAAACAGCCAATTCAAATAATAATGTTTGGATTTACTATTTAAAACTACACATATACACTACTTGCTTTGTGGTCACTTGCAGACAGTTTGAGAAACAGTAAATTTAAAACATGATATTTTAACAAATTTACTCATNGCTAGGACGTAGTTTTAATTAACGCCTGTGTCTCACACACTGCACGACAACAAGTGTCAACAAATTATCATTATTAACGTTAATTAGTAAAACATAAACTGTAAACTGGCGCAACTATATGAAAAGACAGTGTCACAAAACAGTCGGTTACGCTTTAACACATATACCTGTACACTACTTGCTTTGTGGTCACTTGCAGACATTTTGAGAAACAGTAAATTTAAAACATGATAATTTAACAAATTTACTCACGGACCACCAGGGGTCGCTTGTGGACCACTCTTTCAGAAATGCTGCATTATACATTAGCATCAGAGCTACGCTATGGTGAAGCTATATAGAAATCCCCAACCCACAAGTTGATAGGATTGGATCCATAGGTTTGTGACGTACAGCTGTCGTTGGTTATGGAAATACTCAACCATGGTGTTAACTGCAGGTTTCTCTCGTCATGTGTCTGGTATCATGTAAAAAAACACCATATTAACAAGGTTCAACTCTTGATTTTCATCGGAAGGAAAAACCATACAGTTAATTAAACCTTAATAACAAACAGGTTTCATTGTCACCAAGAGATGACATCACAATCCAACACTAACACTGCCCACCTTTGTCAGAGTGAACACAGCTGACTGTAAATACCTGAAAAGCAAAAGCGCGCTGAAACAAATTGTAAAACCATCTCTCCCACACAAGAAGACCAACTCCACGACTGGGAACGACTGGAGAGCAGCCAACTCATCTCTCAGACTTAATAAACTAAGTGTGTCTGTTTTCTGGGACATATCTGGGCAACGTGAAACCTCCAGAGCGGGGGCCTACAGGATCTCGTGCCCTCCTGCCGAACTTAGACACCCCATAACGGCTTCTCGGACCACTGAAACAGGAGCGCTGGCTCCCGTTACAGCGGGGACAGGCTGTTTTGACCCCGGTGGGTCCCTTGTCTCCCTTGTCAGAGTTGTGAGTGACCAGCGTGGGTCATCTATACTTCACAGAGGGTGTCACAGTGTCATGTTGCTAGGAAATGGCATATTACCGCTGCCAATCATGTGGCAGCCGTGGTAACTGGAGTGACTGTCAGGAAGATCTCATCTACAACACATACGGGAAGCGGCACTTTGGCTGCGATGCTTATCACGATCCCACAGTTCAGTATGTATTCATTACATCCAGACAGGTTTTTTCCATACTGCCTCCACGTCTTCACACGTCTCTTTTCTTTTTCTAAAACAACACGATCCATGAGCGTTAAATAAGGATGCTGTAGCTTTAAGGTGACAAGGACTTCACTGCAGAGCAGAGGAATGCGAGCTGTATCCCTCTGGTCTGCTTACAATCTCTCTGTCAACACGGTGAAAAATTAGCGGAAGTAAAGCACACCCAAAGTCATCAATCACGTGATGCTTTCACAGTAAAAATAGCCTCCTGTAGAAATCCACTCACCACTGCAGTCTCGCTGACAAACCTATACGTCTTCCTTTCACTACTTCACCTCTTTAAAGGTTGGGATCTGTCAATTGGCAGAGCTGGTAAAGAACTTATTAGACAGATGAGAGGACATTTTAGGGAGGTACTGTTGTACGAAGACGTATACAGATATATATATAAAGAATTAAACTTCATGAAATCAAGAAATATCACTCGTAGGTACATCAGATGAAGTCTACACTGGTTGCAATGGGGAAAAGGAGTGAATTAATGTGAAGAATAGCAACAGACTGATCTCGATCAACCACAGACGGTCGTCACAACTGTCTGTAGTTGGACTGACAGAGTAAATGAAAA